GTCCTTATCTGGGAATATATTCATTTCACCTTCATTTCCAAAGATGGTTTTACTGCAATTAAAATTCTTGGTTGACAATCTTTTTTCCTAGTACTTTGATGTCATTGTGGGGGGTGTACCAGGGATCAAACTCAGCACCCTGTGCTTGCAAGGCAGGCAGCAGCACCACTGAGCTAAATCCCTGGCCCACTTTGATGTCATTTTTGTCAGTTTTCCATTGCTGTAACAGAACACTTAAGGTTGTGTACCTTATAAAGGAAAGAGGTTTCTTTCGGCTCCCGGTTCTGGAGAGTTTGAACATCAGATAGTCATAACTTGTTGGCTTTTGGTAAAGGTCTCATGGCAAAAAATGGAAGAGTAAGTAGACATGTGCAAAGAGATCACATGGTGAAAGAAGCAAGAGAAAGCTGAAATCACTTCATAACAACTTACTTACACAGCAACAAATCCATTCTAATGGGAACTACATTAATCCCTTCATGAAGGGAGAGCCTCCATGACCCCAACCACCTCTTAATACTGTTACGTTGGCAATTAAATAGAAACAGGAGTTTTGGTGAAGATAAACACTATCTAAAACATAGCAGCATCCCACTGCCTTCTGGTTTCTATTATTTTGGGTGAGAAATCAGCTGTTGATCTTATTAGAGTTGTCTTGTACATGACAAATCATTTCCTCACTGCTTTAGAGACTTTTTTTTCATCTTTGGTTTTCAGTATTTTCAGTATGATATACCTGGTATCCTGAAACTCTTTGCATTTATCTTATTTTGAATTTATTGAGCTTGAATGTATAGGGTTTGGAAGTTTTTAGCTATTAAAAATATTCTTCTACATTTTTCTCTCTTTTCCATGTACTATTATGCAAAGATGGTGGTTGTTTTCATTTTTTCTTCATTCTGATTATATAACCTATAACTGATTTATTTTCACATTTGCTGATCCTTTCTTCTTCCAACACTAAAGTGCTTTTGAGTCTCTATAGAGAAAATGTCACCTTATTGTATTTGCCATACAATTCTGGAAAATTCTGTACCAGAATTTCCATTTCATTCTCTTTTTAAAAACCAATTTCTGATGAGAAATTAGAGTCATTCATAGGAAAATGGATACATTTTGAAGATATACTCCTAAGTGAAATAAGTGTTACACATGTGTAAATACTGAATAGTTTCTCTGTGTGAAAAACTATAATAGTACTCAAGATCCTAATGGGATAATTAACAATGTGAAATAGGAAGAAAGGGGCTAAAGGTGTAGGGAAAGTGGGAAGGATAGGGGAAGGGGAATAAGGGAAAAGAAAAAAATGTGAGAAAATGGAAAAATGGAATTAAAGTGTTTGTAAATGGGGAGGGGAGGAGGGGGTAAAGGGAGGGTAGGGACAAGGGGAAAAAATGAGAACCAAGACCTGTCATGTAATAGGTACAAGATCCCAGTAATGAAAGTAACTGCACTATATACCTATAATGTACCAATAAACTCAATTTTAAAAAAATTAAAAAAATAAAAAATAAAAACCAATTTCTGTTCCTTTATTAGTCTGTACTTGATAAGACACTGTCATACTTTCTTTGTATAGACATATTGCTGGAATTTTGATAGTAGCCTCCAAAGCCACATACATACTTCAAATAATAAGAGGTTTTCTTGAACTTGTTTAGTGTTTTAAACATATTTTTAATGGCTGCTCTGAAGTCTTTGTCTGCTAAATTCAACATCTCAGTCTTTAGAAAAGCAATTGCTATTGTCTGGTTCCCTCCTATGTATAGGTTATACTTTCCTGTTCTTTGGCGGTCTCATTTTTCTGACAACTGGTTATTTTAGATGATACACTATAGTAATACTGGACACATTTCTCCTCACTCTCGGAGATTGATATAACTGCTGTTTTCTTGTTTTTTAACTGAGTGACTTGGCTGAATTGACTCCATGAAGTCTATTTTCCCTTTAGTATGCAGCCTCTAAGGTTTTTTCTCATTTTCAAAATTGATTTCATCCTTTTGCCTGGCAACCTAGGATTCATCCTTGGCTCAGCATAGGCCACTTGTTGGCCAAAGGTCGTGCTTAGGCTCCTTTAGCCATATAGATTCTTACACTTTATTACTAGAAGTGTGTGTGGCTTGGAGGCTGTCAAAATTGAAGATTATGTTTCCATGACACATTCAGCCAGGGACTAATAGCTTAGATTTTTCCTTCTTTAGTTACTGTGAGAGATCACAGCCTTGAGTGCGTACACTACCTTAAGGTTTTCCAGGGATGTTTATGATTTTATGTTTAAGCTTGGTTTTCTAGGACTTGCCCCTGGGTCGATGTATTGTTTATTTAGTGAGTGGTAGGGCTTAAACTCCTATGACAATGAGGTTCCTGCCCTTTGATGTTTGATTTTTTTTTTATGGTACTGGGGATCAAACTTGGGACCTTGCACTTGTTAGGCAGGCAGCTGCACCACGGAGCTAAATCCCCAGCCCTGTTGTTTGATTTGTGCACTGCTTGGGTCCTGATTTTGAGTCTACCTCATGTCCTGCTCTAGCTATTTAGTAGGTGCTGACTTGTTTATGCACAGTCTTCACAGCCTTCCTGAAATCCAAGACTGGCTTAGATTGCAGGAGGGGTCTTAACTGTCTTTCCCTGATTCTATTACCAAACTTATTATGTGGTCATTTTGCTGTGTCATGGAGTTACGAGTGCTTCCCAGTTAACCTCTACCATGATCTCTTATATTTGACAGTATCTTTAGGCATGGGATTCCCCATTTTTGTTCACATACAGTCAATCTTCTCAGATGGAGCTTCATTACTGAGGCCTGCCTTTCTGTCTAAGAAACTCTACAACACTGTGCAAGATATAGAGGCAGAGATAATGGCTTACTTCTTCCAGAGTGAAATCATTTTTATGAATAGATGCTAGGATGGTTTTTCCCTTTCCTGCATGAACTTATGATATATGCACAAGCTTGGGGTAGAGTAATGGGGGACTAGTTTGCTGTGCTTGGGTGAATATCTCTACCCTGCAAGTGAGAGAAAAGAAAGCTCAATGGGAGAAGAGATACTCAGTCATTTTGGGTCTATCTGTAATAAAGCTTGTACAAAACAGAGCTGGGGGAGATGAAAAAGTAAGAGGCTCATCCCTTCCAGGTGAAACCGTAGCTCTGGACAGGGAACAACAAGAAGGAGGCCTCTTCTTGATCACACTGAAGTACTTGGATTAGTGTTCCCTTGAATACTTTCTATAAAGCAGAGTCTGAAGAGGGACAGATGTAAATCACAGTTTAAATGCTATTGACTCTCACTGTTCTTCCTGAGAGTACTTTAGATCTCTTGAATATTTTTATATTTGCTGTATTCCCTTAGAACAATTTATATTTACATATAAAACTGACTACTCTAAGCTCTTTCATCTTAAATCCTATCATCATTACTCTAAAGAATACTTTTCATACAGAAAGCACTCAAATATAAGGTAAATAAATGAACAGAAAGGAGCTATTTACTTTAATAGAAATATGCTCTCTTCCCCTAAGAGGTTATGCTAGTTTACATTCTGGCTAAACCTACTTATTGCAGATCTTCTCCTCCCTTTATTAGATTTTGAAAACTCATAGAGTTATTTCTAATGACCTCTCTGGAGCCCTTCTTCACTTGATCTTAGCCAAAAGGCTGAGAAGCGATATGGAGACCTTCTTAACCTATTCACTACAACTTCTTAAAGTTCTCTTGAACAATCTAGGCTTTATTTTATCTAGATTTAGTAAGCTGAACTACATGACTCAAGGACTCATTCATTTTAGCTTTTGATAACAAAGGAGACCTTTGCAATTTGTCTTTTTTTTGGTACTGGGGATCGAACTGAGAACCTTCTGCTTATGAGGCAGGTGATAGCACCACTGAGCTAAATCCCTGGCTCCTGCAATTTTTTATATATATTATTATTATTCCAATAATAATATTATATCAGAACCCTGCATATTTTATTCAAATTGTGAGCACATCTGTCTTTTTTCCTTAAATGGCAGGCTCTCCCCAGTAGCCAATTCTCTAATCAATTTGAAACCCTTCTACACGTAGCTTAAAATGATACAATTATTATTTACTAACTTTATACAACATATACCTTACATAATATGAAAGGCATGAGATATCACATATTTCACTCTCTTGAAAATCTTATTCTCAATAAATTAAAATTATACATGAATGTTCAAAGCACTTTACCTGCCTTCTAAGCCAGAACCTCACTCTGGATATAGCATTCCGTACAGACTCATAAAAATCCCAACAAAGACTGATGAAGTATGCCACCTAATGGATATACTGCAGTATTGCACTCATAAAATACACGGTATAATGCATAAAGTTAGCATTTGTAATACAATTAAATTACCAAAATCCACTACAGTTACAAAAAAATTGGGAAAAAGAAAAATGGTCATAGTAGGGAAAGACTCAAAAGAAATGATATGAATATCTTCAGAAGACCAAGGTACAGAGGTAACAAGGTGCTTCAAATAGAGTACTTACTGTGCACCCCTCTAAACCTAAATGGGAATTTATTTATTTATTTAATTTTGGGGGTACTAGGGATCGAACTCATGACCTTGCACTTGTGAGACAGGTGATGGAACCACTGAGCTAAATCCCTGGAACTACAAAGGGAATTTTAAAAATTTAGATGGGTATAGGGTAAAACTGAGCTCAAACTTCTAAGACTAAAACTGTATTATTTTTTTAACCCTTTCTTCTAAAAACATTTATTCTTAGAAATTGTTCCTTCAATATGACTCAAATTCAACCATTCCTTATTTAGTACCTACTATATTCCAAGGCACTGATCTAGATGTTTTCATACAGATTCTCATTTGACTCTTTTAAGAATTTTATCAGTTTTGCTCCGAAAAGCTTATTTCCTCTTGAGACTGCTCATGTTCAAGGGGTCTTGAGGTTCCTCCATTACCTACACAAAGCTTAATTGTAGAAGAATCAATGAATAGGGGACTTGCACACCTGTGCAGATGTTTATCTAGATGAGAAGCTGAAAAGATCCACCTAAGAAGCAACAAAGGGGAAATAAATCAGTAACACTGGGGATGAAGAAAAACCAGGATTCATTTTATCCTATGATATATTCTATTGCTTCTATCCTACAATATATTATGAAGACACCCAAAAGAGTCACTGCCAAGTTCACACCCAGTATAAAGTCACTGTATAAATGACTATATAAATTTTGACTTTTAAAGAGTAATTCTGTGCTTACTCTATGGCTTGCCTATGAAAGAGTGAGAAAAACAGTAGAAGAGAAACTAAGCAGTCATAATTAGGTTTGCTGAGTTATTATCATGGAAACCATGTCTTTCAGTGCTTCAAATACTCCTTATACAGGTTTTTTGTTTTTTTGTTTTTTTGTTTTTTTTTTTTTTTTGGTACCGGGGATCAAACTTGGGTCCTTGCACTTGACAAGGCAGGCGGAACCGCTGAGCTAAATCCCCAGCATCCTTATACAGTATTTAAGAAAATGAATAAGTTATGTTCCTTCCCATTATAAGATTAACAAAATGGTGCTCGCTTCGGCAGTACATATACTAAAATAGGATTAACAAAATGACATTGATGAGATCCTAGAAGATGAACAGGTATAGCCCAAGATGAAACTTTACTAAGTATTTTCTCTAGGAAACAATGAACAATATAAGGCTAACCTAATAGCATAGATTTCTAATAGTTATTTTTATACAAGGCCAACATTTGGTAAGTATATAAGGCCCCAAAAGACTCAAGATCCACAAACTGAAGGAAATGACCAATGCTCATCTATATAACATTACCTTATGTCATAGCATTTTATGTTCAAAGTTATCACACTCATTTCACTTGTACAATTTCCAACATAATGTGAATGTATAACACATAGAAGAGTGTCAACAAATGATCACTTCAAAATACATAGACTTGACATAGCAGTTGTAACATGGAAAAATTCAGAGTATATCACCACAATTCTGTTGATCCAAAAGTGTTTTTCTCCTTATGAATTCCATGCTAGGCCTTTGGAAAAATATAAACATGTTAAGACACATCAACTCACTGAGCAGGAAAACAGACCCTGAGTCTTACTATCAACAACACATTATTTTTTTGTAAGTCACCTGGAAAACTGATAAACACTGGAATCCAGAGGTTTAAGTTGAAGAGAAGGTGACTGGCTTTCTTCTTCAACACATGGAAGCAGGCTAGGGGTATTCATTCCTTCATATCCAATTGTCTTGTCATTCAGTCTAGCAATATCTTGAACAGTAGGAGTCTCTGGTAGATTACTGAGTACCTAGAAAAGAAAGAAATGATTCATAAACATCCTGAATTCAAACCAAATACCAATGGTTTGAGTCAATTCTTCTGATGCTGGGAAAGAATGCTTGGCCAAATAAAAAGAAACTGTTTCCTACACAAAACAGTGTGCAATAATGTACACTAGAACACTAAGCCCAGGCACATTCAGTTATTAACCTTATCAGGTAGATATGAACAGACCTCCCCCATTCATTTACTAGCTCCTAGAGCTATCCCATCCACAACATAAACCTAGGTCCTTTATCACTGTCTTTCTCTCTTTTGATCCAATGGAATGCTAGGATTTCATTCTTTCTGAGATCTGTAATGAGAATAGGGGTAAAGGGAAAAAAGCAATTCAGCAGGTGTCTGCACTGGTTTGGGAGAAATGCATGCAAGAGACAACATATATTCATAGTGCACATACAGAAACATGCATCTGGGATCTGTGGGAGAGCCAACTTATGAAGATAGTATGAATAATTATGGTGAAGGGATATGAAGGGGAGGTAAACTAAATGAGGACAGGGCAGTCCTAGATAATCTCCCAATCTCTACATAAGACCATTAAGCTAAGACATCAGTGCATGAAACTTTACTCCTCATATGCCTGGGTTTTGGCAGGATATCAGAAGAATCTGTATTAAATTGCATTTATCCTTACCAGTCTGACCTACCCTGACTGAGTGGGGGGAAAGTGAATCAAACATGCGACTAGTAAATCTTTCTGGGAAAAAGGGTCAAAAGGAAAATCATGCAGAAAGGCAGGGTTGAGTAGGGAAGACATATGGGTGCTATGGTGGCTGTCGGGAGAGGAAAGTCCCTAAAAGGACGGCCAACCTTATTGCACCCTTCAGCGTCCGGAGCTGGGCAACCATGTCCGGGAGACAGTGCTCCTGAAAATTCAAAACAGCAGAGTCTTTACAAAGCCAGCCAGCCTGAAAGCAGGGATCAGGAAAGGGCAAAAAGAACCAACCCTTCTTTCCAAGAGAAAAGAGGAAGGAATCATCCCTGAATCCTGGAAGAAAGGAGACAGGAAAACCAGACTTTCAATAGGAACAGTCTATAAGGATGGAAGACGATCAGTCCTGGATATACCGTGGCACTGAATGTGACATTTCCACTGCCTAAATTACTGACTCCAAATCTGGGAAACAAATGATTTGAGTCTTCTATTTTAGGTGACCTGAACATCAGTAAAAGCAGCAGATCAACATAACCCAAAGATCCAATACAAAGAAAAGACCATGAGAAGAAATGGTTTGTTATTTCTGTGCAGCATTTTTTTAAAAACAGGTTCTCACTTTGTAGTTCCGGCTAGCCCTGAACTCACTATGTAGCCCAGGCTAGCCTCAAACTTGAGGCGATCCTCCTTCGTCTGCCTCCCGAGTGCTGGGATTACAGGCATGCACTACCACACCCGGCTTTTTACGCAGCTTTCAAGATTGCTGCTTCCTTCAACCTATTCCTGTGCTGTGGAAAATTTCATGTAAGGAAAGGAAGAGGAAGGCTGTCTCTCACCTGGTAAGTCTCACTTTCCATAGGTATCTTCTCAACAGTTTGATCTCTAGAAGATAAAAGCACTATTGAGTTCACACATGAAACATCTCAATTTGAAATGGATTACCAATTGTAGATCTAGGTTTTAATGTTCATTCAAAATTAGAAACAGAGTGAGCCTCACTGAGTAACTAAGGTTGCCCTCCTGAAGTGTGATACTGAAGAGAATTTTCAAATGTTATTCCTCTCCCAGAGAGAAAGAAAAGGGGAAAGGAGAGAGGAGAGAGGAGAGAGGAGGGAGGAAAGGAGGGAGAGAGGGAGGGAGAAGGAGAGAGAGAGGGAGGGAGAGAGAGAGAGAGAGATGGGAGGGAGAAGGAGAAAGGGAGAGGGACAGGGAAAGGGAGGGAGAGAGCACGTGCAAGAGAGGGAGAGATATTACAAACACAAGTTGAGACATTCAGAATGGCTAAAAGGAATACAGAATTAGCAGGGTGAGGTGAGAAATCACTGAGAATCTCCCCAAATTACCCCTCTTCCCCAAACTTCCTTGTCTTCTCACAATGTGTTAAGTTCCTGTATTATATGATATAGAACACCATCTCATATATACTTAACTGTTTTTTAGCTTTGCTTAAATATAGATCTTCATCAATGACTTCTTGTTCCTCTGGAACAGAGCATCTCCTGCAGTACAGATAAGAAATCATCTTTTGGAAGAAAAATGTGTTTTTCACTTTTACCCTTTACTTTCCTTATAACTATCAAAGGGCAGTTAAACAACCCTCTAACAGTATATAAAACATGAAGAAGAGAATTTTAGGAGTAAAAACCAAAAGAGTACTGAAAATTTATTCAGTGGTCAAAAGTAATTCCAAAGACAAACAAAAATTAATAATAATTATAACCTATGTTGTATCCATTTTATAAGGAAGCAAAATGGCTTAGAAGGCTGTCTCTTGGACTCAGTATAAGCAGATAAAAGATAAAGTATTGAAAAATGAAACTTTTAAACAATCAGTCCCATATTCTAATCACACAATCGTATTTACTCTTCAATGAAAAGTGCTTAGGCATTATCTTGAGACTATAAGGGAATGCTTACACATTATAGACCCACATTTCATTTAGTTAACTTCTTCCATTTTAGACATTTTCCCCCTAAAAAGCATATTCTGTTGTAGCACCCTTTTTCTATCAGCATTTACCCTGAAGGAAAAAGAAGAATTTTAAGATGATCACAGATGGACTTAAGCAAACTGGCTTGTCATGAACATATGTGATTGCTGAGTCAAATAAAATGATGGTTTAATTGAAGTTAATCCCCATGGATATGACAACTGCTATTTAGATGTCAGATGTTGAAAGCAACGTATGGAATATCAGGAAGACAAACATGTAAATGAATAGTATTGAATGTAAAATAGGTACTGTTAGCATTGATTCCATATAGAAGGCATATTTAAAAAATCATCAATTCAGCCAGGGATTTAGCTCAGCAGTTCCGCTGTCTGCCTTGCAAGCACAAGGACCAGAGTTCGATCCCCAGTACCAAAAACAAAAACAAAAACAAAACAACAACAACAACAAAACACATCGTCAATTCAACCTGGAATGTAAAGACTATGTTCTCAAAGAATTTAAAATATCCTAAAGAGCCAAAGCATATGCATATGAAAAACAACCAAAAAATACAAAATAAGGTCAGGGATTTAGCTCACTGCACCTGCCTTGTAAGCACAAGGTCCTGAGTTCGATCCCCAGTACCAAAAAAGAAAAAAAAAAAAAAAAGGAAAGAAAAAACAACAACCAAAAACCAAAACAGAGTGTGAACAAATGTCAAGAATCAAATACCACAGAGAAATCAGAGTAAAATCACCATAAACTACTACCAACCAGAAAAAAAACATTACATAAGAGTTCAGCTCCTGAGATGGAGATGATTTAGACAGGCAGATGGAACGCACAAGGTCATTGCAAGTGAGAAAAATAACATAATCAAAGTCATGGAAGAGAGAGTAAGCACGGCTTGTGCGGGGAAACGTAAAGCCGTAGCACTTGCTCAGGTACAAAAGTATAAAGTAAAGTAAAGTACAAAAAAGTTTTCACTAAGATTAAGGCTGGATAGGTTCTGTAAGGATAGGGGCTTGAATGCCAGGAGAAGAGTATATAGACTTGAGATTAAGCGTTTTCAAAGATAAACAAATCAGGTATAATCTCAGGCATAATACGGAGTCTTGGAACCTTACCTGTATTTTGGATGGGAATTATAGTAACAAAACCACCTTGCAGGTAATGTAGATGGGTCTACTTTGCCAGGAAGCTTTCTCCATTTTAGACACTCATCACACTGTACCCATGTCTGATCAGGAATCTTCCTGCATGAGGGAAGATAGAAGTGTGACTAGGTATCCTCTATCTCTGTGCTTTGTCTTATATTAGAAAGGTACAACCAAGCTAAAAAAACTAATTTTATATACAAAATGTGTTACAAATGTTATAGTTTAGATGTCTAAAATGTGTGTACTTTGAACTTCATAGATAAAATAATGATAAAAATATGAAAATATGATAAAGATATGAAAAATAAAAAGTACAAGGTACTTTATTAACAAGGTAAGGTATCATTACTTATGGAGTTCAATATTTATCTTGGAAACTTTTGTTCTAAGAAAATAATAATTTTAATTATAAAATTTATTAACTTGAAGAAAACATTTTATGATTATATTATTACCAAGATATAAAACCCATACAGTCAATTTATTTGCTTCTATTCAATCACTAACAGATTTAAAATGCATTTATAGGAGTCAGTGAAGTACTGTTATTAAAACATCTCTTCCATTTTCCTGAAGATCCCCCTATTTTATTTTACTTCAAAACAAAAAATTTGTTTGTAGTGTGCTTCAATCAAAAATTTACTAGGCTGATATTCTCATAGTAAATCTTTAAAGTCTCCCAGAACTCAACTCTTAAAATTCTTACTCCCATCCACAGCTGGAATTGGCAACCAGACACCTACATCTTAAAGTGAGTTTGTTTCTCTGTGATAAGAGGTGGCTCATATATAAGATATATAAACAAAAAATTAGTGTGCTTCAATCAAAAATTTACTAGGCTGATATTCTCATAGTAAATCTTTAAAGTCTCCCAGAACTCAACTCTTAAAATTCTTACTCCCATCCACAGCTGGAATTGGCAACCAGACACCAGACACC